TCCAACGCCGTGGGAGGCGATTCGAGTATGGCGACACTACTAGGGAGTGACTCCGGCCGCGCCGGTCGCCTGTGTGTTTTTTCGACTCCAGTTTTCCTGACCTGGTCTGGAGATCGGGCCGCGGTGGTGGAGGGAGGAAAACTGCAGCAAATGCAGTTTAACTCTGTTGTCAGTGTAGTCTTATTCACGTGCAAGGCAACACGGTCGTTTCCAGTCTGCTATGAGAGACTTGGTGGACATGGGTGAAACCGACGGTTAAATTGTTACTAGTGAATACCTGTAGGCATAATTCAAGTAGCATTTAGATATTCAGTTGAAACTATTGGATTTCAGTCCAAATATTCTGATCAACTTTCGGCCCAAACGTGAAGATTTAAACTGAGGAATATACTCCAAGTTTCTGTTCTACTTTCCATAAGTACTTTAAGTTTAGTTCACTAATCTGCGTCAAGTCCAAGCCTCTTATGGTCTATCAAAATGATGCTTAAAATTACCGTCTAGACAAAGCCACAGACGTACCACAGCTTTCATAACAGCTTAACAAATAAGTACTCCACGGTTCTTTATTGTCACCCTCAGGGAGCTCTGGAGTCGAGGGCATACTATCCTCATCATCATCTTCGTCATCCTCGTCGTCTTCGCCACTCTCTTTTTCATCGTCATCTTCATTCTCACTAGAGTCATCTTGTACTACTTCTAGCTCGGAATTGGCCCTTCCACGCATGCCCGTGAATTCATGCCCCACGAGTTCAAGGTCAGACTGTGGCCTAGCGTGGCGAGTGAGATAATCGATTGGTAGGCACGCGTGCAGCCTATTTGTTAGTCATCGTGCACAGGAATGCATCAGCATTCAAGTTCTGGAAACGCGGTGCACGATAAAAGAAATAGCAATTAGCGTGGAGTCTGTAAGTATTTTGGACCTCTGCATATTTTCTGATCATGATGAATAAGAAACCGAAATTGGAATGAGCGAATTCAACTGTCAGCAGCTGTGAAAAAACGACTTGTCATATTTCTCACTTCGCCTTGATTTAACAACTGGCTGAAAAGTTCAGCAGTATTAAAAATAATCTTATAAACAAAATATGTTGTTCGGTAAGAGTGTTCCTATTGAGTTTTGAGATTTTGATCTGATGAATGAATGGCCGTAGGTGGCCTGCGTCTGTCAATGCAAAGGAACAAACGACTTGTCATTTTCAGGGTAACACAGAATGAGAACGCTGGACTTAAAGTAGTCAACCCGTGTTACATAATTATGCCATGATAAAATCATTGCTTGATTGATCTCTGACCTATACTAAGTGATGCATGAGTACTTTAACATATTTGGAGCGGACTATTATGGGCCAGTGCTGAGTTTCGACAATTTCGACTAACATTTTTAAGAGTCATTAGGCCCGCAGTTATCAGCACTCTTCAGTCTCGCAACATTGCATGTTTGAAAATCGTAGCAAAATTAACCATTTCAAAGTAAACAAATCCGATGATAGTAATAATCTAAAAAGAGTACAGTACAGAAACTAAGGACAGGTCAAACCAATATCACTTATCGCAAATGTACTCCACATATAGTAGGTAGCAGTATTTGTTCATTACATTTTATTTTGACATATAAGTTTCCTTTAGCAGACTTCAGAACCTGGATCTGCCTCAGGCCCCTCAATCGGAATTTTCTGGATTTTTCAGTATGTAGATTCGTGCAGACGCCTGCCCATTATTGGAACAGTGATTTTATGCATTTATAATGCTTAAAAAGCAAACACCATGCCAAACTAATGATGTTTTAGGCATTAATATACGCGGTTATTAGGTCCTCAAATTAACTTTCTATCTATGAGTGGAGACCAAATTCCGACTCGACATTAATCATGCTAACCCTGAAGATTTGATAACAAATCACCACTGATAGTCTCAATTCATGTTGGCAGAGAAGTACTTATTGACCACCAGGCTGTTAGTGAGAAAGAGATCGATAATGCGAAGTGTTCGGCCGGCGATTGCTCGTGCGGTGAGTAAGCATTCGCGTGACCAATGTTCACGATCAATCAATCTTCAGCTTCGGGAAAGGCAGCCGAATTAGTATTATAATTTGACTGAGGGGTATGTGGAGTGCACTCAGCGTTCGGCTGCTCATCTTTTGCCTATATTCGGGTGCTAACTATGGCATGGCGCTTCCAATCTTACAAGCTCCATTCCTGACAAATGCGCTATCAAGTCTGTCAAATACGCTGTCAAACATGGAGAAAGACGATCTTGACGACTACGAAGTCATGTGGACACCTACATCAGCTGACATAGAGGTAATCAATTATGATGACCAGAAACTCGCAAAACAAGTGTATGATCTGCTGTCAGAAGACGAAGTAACAGTTCAGCCGAGTCCCCAAAAGCCAACTGAACCCCCTGCAAGTCTGGATGTCACCCCAACCCATTTCAGTGCTTTTCCAAGGTTCGCTTCTCCGCGATATTTAGCTCCCAGACCAACTATCGGACTGAATCAGTATACATTTCGGCCCAGCTTCAATGGCTTTGTCCATCCAAGAAGAACAAATGAAATTTCACCTGCAGCCCTATCGACTGATTATGTTCCGCAGCCACTAACTGGTCAATATCTAACTCACGACAGTCCCCACCCTCTCTGGTACCCACGAAGGATTCCCCTTGTCCGACATCGGAGGTTCGGTGGCTATCCTCTACACCGACCTTATGCGCCGCTTTATCCGCACAGGCGGAACCATCCCTGGCGATGGCCTATGCACCGACGCCGTCATATGTATCCTTACGAGGAACCCTTTTTCGTTTCGCCCCTAGGGCACCCCCCAGTCTTTGAAGATTTCGAAAAGCCAATGCATCTGGAGCCTAAGACTGACATGGTGTCACCGGTCAGTGGAGAAATGAACGAAGATATCGGTAAGATGACTGATTTTTCATTATACGAGGACTGAGTTATTACGATGTCGAGTTTTGGTCTGTGCGCCACCGCAGTTTGTTTCTTTTCTCTTTGCATTGTCTATCTGCGACAGTAAAAATTCCAAAACAAGACAAACCTTCCTTCTGTATTGTAAAATGACTCGCCTTAGGACCTGTTTGCTCACCGTGTTGACCAGTAGATGGTGAGGGAACATTTTCTGCAGTAATACCGATTGATAGTGTAGATGACACATAGCTCTCTCGAGAGAAAACCCGCTGCTATTATGTATGCTGCTCACTTCATTCCAAAATGGTTGAGATCATGCGTACCAGATGTAAAACAGTGCGTGATGGGGGTGGGCTCTGGGTGTGGAAGAAATGGAAAGTAACATATGACTTAATTGCTCCATGATACTACTAATGCTTCAAGAGTGCTTGCGCATTCTTAGGGGACGTGGGAGGAGTTTACGGGCTTAACGAATTGGGGATCATTGCACCGGAAATGTAATCGTCTTTGGAAATATTAAAGCAATTACATCGGACAGTCTAGGTGATGGAAGACCGGCCTACATGTACAAAATTCGAGTACTATCTGTTGTTCTTCCTGGAAAACTGAGCGGACAATATAAGCTGAGGCCTAAGGAGGGCAATGGTACTTTCATTACGATGAGCCAACGAAACGCACCGGGTCACTGATTGAACAAAGGTGTATTCAGATTGGGAGAGTCAGTTGCAGGATGGTGGTTGACCAGACTGGATTGGGGAGGAAGGCGTTGGTTTGTTCGCAGTTGCTAGCCACAGTGAAAGGTTGGGCATTGGCGCAGTTGGCGGGACCTTTTTTTGGCTGACTCAGAGGCGGACCAAGATCTGCAATCACGTGATCTCATGCGTAGCGTGGCACCAAAGGTGAAAAACACAACAGGATCACTATAACCTCTCAATATACCCTTTGTCGTCTTTGTAGTATTTAGACTCCAATAATGCGAGCGTAGGAGGTAATTTATCGTGAAGGACGATATAGCAACGGAATGGTCTGTTTGCACATCGTTCGATGGATTTAAGTAAGAACCAAAAAGGCCGGTTTGATCGTCACTAATGTAACTAAGATACTAGCACTCTCTTTGTTTGCAGCGTTGGAGGAAAATCGCAGCGTGATAGACTATTTGGCTGTGAAATAATAGCCGGAAATATATTTTAAAAAAATATTCTCTGTCCTATTCCTTCAATAATACGTTTTTTTTGGTATCAATAAACCATTGACTTGGTAGCGTCTAGCCAGCTTTTAAAGGCCTGTTTTGGACTGCTCGAGGGCACAACACACAAGTCATAACTCGGGTTGTCCCGAGGGCACTAGAACAAAGGAATCGGACAGGCCACTAATGCATGCAGAGCGGGCAAAGAGAGTGACCTTGAAAGGCCAACACGCAAGCAGGAAAGGACAACCATGGGCCGGGGTCTGCCATCCGTGAGGTCATGCCTGGCCAGGGACAAAGCGCGCGCACCAAGCGTCACCTGAGGACACGATAGCTTAAACACGATGGCTGCATGTAGAGGGCACTCATGGAGGGCCAGTAGGCAACAATGACTTCTGGCCCTTAAGTAGCGAGGCTGCGAGCAGAAGGGCATTCTGCTGCTGGGAGACATGGAAATCTGTTACTGAGACACGCTGCCGACGACCCGAGATTCGGCTGCTAGTGATAAGACCTGCTGTTGGCCAAGACGAGTTAACGACCGCTGAAGA